CGTCCGTGGTGCACGCGGAAGGGGCGAGGGGGAAGAAGGAAGGAGACGAGAAACGTATGGACTCATTGAGGATAAGGTCGAAAAGAACGTGTGTGGATCCCATGGCCGCGATGCGAGCGCACGGCTGACCAACTCAAAGTTCTTCCCTAGTTTCTAAACTGTTTTGTGCATATATAATGCGTGTCATGATGCATCATGTATGACTAGAGGAGGCAAACACGCATGATGAGGCTGCAAACGAATCAAGTTCGAAGGAGTTGGCCTAGATTAAGCTCAACTCGTACAATTTGAGCCAGCACAAACATGGCTCATTTTTTTGGAGCGGCTAACATGTCTTACATTTTTTTCAGCCTTAAGAGCAACTCTAACAGTGTCGTCATATGACCATGATTGCCAAAATAACAACCAATATAGATAATCTGGGCCGCGTCCAATCATGGATCTGGTGGCCGTGGGAGATCACGTGCTTCCTATGGCGTCGATGATGGCCGCGGGGGATCCAACCTCCTCCTTCGGCTGAAGGAGGTGGAGGACGTCGACCCCATTGTTCTCCTCGCCCGGTGAATGACACCATCCCGTAGAGACCGAGCCGGAGCCGGTGTCGGAACCTGAGAACCTGATCGACACTATGATGCGGCTCTCTGCCCTCAAAGCTTGCCACGAGAAGCACATCCTTCAAGAGTACAACCCCACACTTTCCGATAATGAGAAGTAGCGCAGCTAGTAGCTTCTGCTGGTGAGTCCGACCCCTGCGCCTACTTCGACGATCTCTCTCTTTCTCTCTCGAAGGAGGAGGAGGAGGAGGGTGACAATGACTAGATGACGCCAACCACCGACTAGTTTAAGTAATACCGAGTAGTGATGTCGCTTGAGTAGCGACAATGATTGATGTAGGGTAGGAACCCTAGATGGCCGATCTTTCACGAAAGGAGCGGATCCCGCGATGAACACGAAGAACACGAGGAGGGAAACGAGGGGAAAATCACAAGGGGGACACAAGAGAACACTCAAACCAACAAGAATAAGTCACACATATGCTAGATCCTCGAGTACATAAGAGAAGATACACGATCCACGGACAACTAAGGACGATACAAGGGTAGCCGGTCTTCTCCATGAGGAGGTCTTGATGTTCTTCTCCGCGAGGAGGTCTTGAATCCAAAGGGATCTTCTCCGAAGAGGTCGCGGTCTCTCACGAGGAGTAGATCCGATGTGGATGAGCAATGCTCTATCTCTCAAATGAGCTAAACCAATGCTAACCCTAGCTAGATGGAATAGGAGTTCTATATATAGTCTTAGTGCAAAGAGGGGGGCGAAGGGGTACATGGGCTGCGGCCCAACATGAAACAGCACACAGGCGTCGGGGACGCCCGGGGGTCACCGGTCGTCCGGAGGCTCGCGAAGGTCCGGACGTCCGGTGCCTGTCGGACGTCCGTAGATTCGGCTCGGGTGGTCTTCGGTCGGACGTCCGGTCGGGGTCGGTCGTCCTAGGAGCGTCGATCGTCCGTGGAGCGTCAGAAGTCCGTAGTTTTGGCTCAGGTGTGGAAGTGTCGGACGTCCGGAGCCTAGAGGTCGTCGGACGTCCGATCCTGGCCGGTCGTCCGGAGCCTGGAACTTCTTCTTCTCCGTCTTCACGTCCATCTTCCTCTTCTTCTTCTCCTTGCTCCTTAGCTTGTCCATGGTATCTGAGTATGCACAATGTGTCCGTATGAGGTAGTAGCCATGTCTCATGTGCATCGAAGTGGAAACGTGAGAGGAGTGATGTCACCTCGGCTTCGAGAGCTCTTGCGCGTGCTCATGTCATGGGTCAGTGAGACGATGGTAGGTCCACGAGATGACCTTGGGATGCTCCGCATCATCTCCCCTCCCTTGGGGAAGATTCGTCCTCGGATCAAATTCTTCATCACCATGGTAGGGAGAGAGATCTTTGACGTTGAAGATGTCGCTCATGGAGTACTTGTCGCGTGGAATGTCGATCTTGTAGGCGTTGTCGTTGAAGCGTGCAAGCACCTTGAAGGGTCCATCCGCTCGTGGTCGAAGCTTGGACTTGCGTTCTTGTGGAAAGCGGTCCTTGCGAAAGTGTAGCCACACGAGATCACCAATGTTCAAGACCATAGGTTGCTTGTTGAAGTTGAGCTTGGTCGCAAGGCGTTGAACTTGGCGCTCGATGGTGTTTCTTGTATCTTCATGCACCTTCTTGAAATGAGTCACACGTGCACTTGCGTCCAAATTGATGCACTCTTGGAGTGGTAGAGGGAGAATGTCCAATGGGGACAAAGGGTTGAATCCGTAGACGACCTCGAAGGGGGACTTGCCGGTTGTTGAGTGTCTTGCTCAGTTGTAGGCGAACTCGGCGATAGGTAGGCACTCCTCCCACTCCTTGATGTTCTTCTTGATGAGTACTCAAAGTAGAGCGGAGAGTGTGCGGTTGGTAACTTCCGTTTGGCCGTCGGTTTGTGGATGATACGCCGTGGAGAAGAGTAGCTTGATTCCGAGCTTGGCGCATATGGTCTTCCAAAAGTAGCTAAGGAACTTGACGTCACGGTCCGAGACGATAGTCTTTGGCACTCCATGTAGACGCAATATTTCCCTACAAAAGAGATTAGCGACATGTGAAGCATCGTCTATCTTGATGCAAGGAATGAAATGTGCCATTTTTGAGAAACGGTCCACAACGACAAATATGGAATCCTTCCCATTTCGAGCCCCAGGCAAACCAAGTACAAAGTCCATGCTAATGTCTTCTCATGGTTGATATGGAATTGGTAGAGGCATATAAAGGCCATGGGATTGAGCTTTGGACTTAGCTTTGCGACATGTAGAGCATCGGTTGGTGACGCGGTTGACGTCGCGAAACATCTTGGGCCAAAAGTAGTTCTTCGAGAGCGTGGCAAACGTCTTGTCTCGTCCAAAATGTCACATTAAGCCTCCTCCATGAGATTCCTGCAAAAGCAACAAACGAAGAGAAGACTCGGGGATGCAAATCTTGTTATCTCTCATAAGATATCCATCTTTGATGTAATAGCGTTCCCAAGAGGTGTGCGTCAAACACTTGGCATAAGGAGTAGCAAAGGTAGGATCATGCTCATACAAGTCTTTTATATGCTCAAAGCCAATGACATCTAACTCAAGTTGAGTAACAAGCATGCATATGCGGGCATCCGCCATAATGTTTTCTTTACCTTTAATGTACTTGATGACATAAGGAAAAGACTCAATGAATTCACTCCATTTAGCATGACGCTTGTTCAACTTGGTTTGGCCCTTAAGATACTTGAGCGTTTCATGATCGGTATGAATGATAAACTCATGAGGGCGAAGATAGTGTTCCCACTCATGCAAAACGCGGACTAAAGCATATAGCTCTTTGTCATAGATGGGGTAATTGAGTTGCACGCCGGAGAGTTTCTCACTAAAGTAAGCTATGGGGCGCTTCTCTTGCGTTAACACACCTCCTATGCCATTACCACTAGCATCGCAATGAATCTCAAAAGGTTTGTCAAAGTTGGGTAAAGCAAGCACAGGAGCATGAGTAAGCAAATTCTTAAGCTCATTGAAAGCGGTATCTTGGGATGGTCCCCAAACAAAAGGCGCATTCTTCTTGCTCAAAGCATGCAAAGGCGAAGCAATGGTGCTAAAATCTTTCACAAAACGACGATAGAAACCCGCAAGGCCAAGAAAGCTACGCACTTGTTGCAAATTGGTTGGTTGTGGCCAAGTCTTAATAGCGTTGATCTTGGACTCATCAACATGAACACCCTTAGAAGAAACAACAAAACCCAAGAAAACAAGCTTCTCAACGCCAAAAAGGCATTTCTCCATATTAGCATAGAGATGCTATTTTCGAAGAGTTTGCAAAATGGTTCGGACATGGGTGACATGCTCTTTGAGAGACTTGCTAAAAACAAGGATATCATCGAAGTAGACCACAACAAACACACCAATGTAAGGGCGAAAGACATGATTCATAAGACGCATAAAAGTACCCGATGCTTCCGAGATACCCATAGGCATGACTAACCACTCATACAAGCCAAACTTGGTTTTGAAAGCGGTTTTCCATTCATCACCCTCTTGTATGCGTATTTGATAGTAACCACTCTTAAGATCAATTTTCGAAAAGATAGTGGCACCACTAAGTTCATCAAGCATATCATCAAGGCGTGGAGTGGGATACCTATAACGAATGGTGATAGCATTGATAGGTCTACAATCGAAGCACATGCGAAAGCTACCGTCTCGTTTTGGCACAAGAATGACCGAGACGGCACAAGGGCTCAAAATTTCACGCACATGTCCATGGTTTATGAGATGCTTTACTTGCCTTTGTATTTCTTTGGTTTCTTTGGGGTTGACGCGGTAAGGAGCTTTGTTCGGAAGCGGTGCTCCGGGGATGAGGTTGATGCGGTGCTCAATGCCTCGTAGTGGAGGTAGTCCCGGAGGTAGCTCGTCGGGGAAAACATCGTGAAATTCCTGCAAAAGAGAAGACAACACTAGAGGAAGAGTGTGAGAAGTGTTAGTTTGTGGTGCATTGTCCTTGCACACAAGGACGTAGTGTAGGACACTAGGTGGGTTCTCACACACTCCTCTTAT